GTTAATCATGGATGATAATATGTTAACAGACATATTTTGAATAAAAAAAAAATTGTGGGAGAGCACTACGCTTTTACACTGGGTGATTTCTGATGAGTGATGAAAGACGTTCCAAATCGAAAATTTGAGCGACTTAAAGAAAATTTGAGGATGTTTTGGGTTTTTAGAAAACCCAAATTAAAACATCTCCAATTTCAAAGAGATACAGAATTAGATAGGTTTTAAGGAAAATGCAAGAACATGAATTCAAAAAATTGCAAGTAACGTTGGCTTATCGCACGCAACTGTTCTAATTTGGGTTTTCTAAAAACCCCAAACATCCTCAATTTTTTTTCAGGTCGACGAATTGGAACTTCTCTTATTGGAAACCGCCCAGTGTAAAGGCGTTGTGGTCTCCAACTATTTTTATTGCTTTCAATATATTCTTGAATCATGTCTGTTAACACATTATCACCAGAACACCAAAAAGTATAAAAATAATAAGAGAAAATGCAAAGTAATAATATTTGTCAACATTACTTAATATTATTGTTTTCCACTGCCTACTTTAATACATTTTTAATTGACTCATATCTCACGAACGGTTGGTTTTAGGCACATGGTACTAAAACTTGTTAAAAGACAATTAAACAAAGAATCCAAAAGTGGTAAAAAATACAGGCTGTTCCATTAATTTAGCATCTGTCCCACACGATAGATGACAAAAATGTTCAACTTTGTTCTCAGAAGTATTGTCATAACTTTAAAAATAATGGAGTTATGGCTTGGAGCGTTTTTCATAATACAGCCTGTATATTTCAATGTTTATTATTTATCCACAAAATATTTTTTTTATAAATGTCACGACCATCTTTATACCACTAGAAATTGTAACTTGTATAGACCTAACTTCTTAAGATTATCGAAATCAAGGAACAGCAGTGGATATTATTGTGTTAGATTTTATACTACCTTCATATAATGAGAATCTTCCTTTTGAATCATTTAGACGCCAAATTATAACAATTCTTATTGAAAATGCTTTCTATTCTTTCGATGAATATTTATGCTTTTCATTTGTTTCATTGTAGTTATATCTAATATTGACGAGTGTAAAATTTTGTATAAATTTTGAACACAATAATTTATCTATCTATATATCTATCTATCTATTGAAGAAATTTCTGGAAATTGTACTATTGTCAGATTTAAAAGCTGGTGAGGTAATAAATTGCGAGTCAAGGCCGGCAACATTAGAAAATGAAACTCGAATTGCCGGCAATACAACCCGAAAACAATTACATATCAATTCGGCTCTCTCCTCGGGCCAATAAAAGAATGGAGCGATTCTTCGCCGCAAGGAGCTATAAAAAACCGTGAATATATTTTGTGTAATTGCGCGCCATAAGTCGACTTTATTATTCTTAGTTCGAGAAGTTGGCGCGATGGCGCTGGCGTGTTAGTGCCCCCTTGGGGGCCCCGGCACGTGAGCGAGCACAACTGCATGTTTCATCCCGCTTTTTCGTGCCCCACAATACAACGCCAACGAAATGATTTCCGCAGACGTGGACTCGTCGCCCGTTGTTCTAAAATACATGAACAACTTTAGTTTACTTCAACGGCAGACTGGCAACAGACGACCTGTGAATCTTTAACCACGACAAGGGTATAAATCGAATGCAAATTTTCTTGTTTTCTTAATTTTTTTCGTTTCAGATAATAATAAAATTAGTTCATCGATTTGTGTGGTTCGTGTTCAATTTTTCTCTCGCTTATTAAGCCACTAGCCGGATCTGGAACATCTTTTCGTGCGATATCATAAAACACCCTTCTTTATGGTCAGTGCTCAAGCCAGCATACAATAGCTGTTCGCCTACGCCTATAGCAAGCAAATTGCAAACTTGGATGGATGAAGAGTTTGCAATGGCCTTACATAAATCCACACAAATTATCTTATTATTAATTTCGAAATGGAGGCTCCATTCTCGTTTATTGTCTTAGCACATCTATCTAGGTGTTTTACTCTAAAATTAACAAATGTGTAATATGTGACTGAAAATTAATAACATATTTGTCTGATTTATCGCAAATTTTCCTTCTTCTTCTCCATCTCATTTTATTCTTCCTCTAAGGTAGTCAACTTGTACTTATAACTTTGACTTCTTCTTCCCCTTCTTCTTTCTATATCCATTTTTTTAACATATTGTTTTCCAGTTTCTTGTCACTACTTCACTTTTGCAATTTTGATTTTCAACATTCCGTTATTGACTTCACTTTTTCTTTAAATTTTACCGTTTTTTCTACTCTTATCATTATCTTTATTTTTTAAATGATTTTCCTAATACGATGTGATACAGAATGACTGTGTCTGTTGGTAACAGATTTGAAAGAATTTTTGTTAATAATTTGAAACACTTCGGATACGATTTTACTTGACAAATACTTGATGTACAACCCCTCAAGATTGTTGAATTGTTGTTAATCAAAAGCGTACTGCGATGGTAACCTTTAAAAATTAGAGCAGGATAGTAGTATATAAATGGTTTCTTCTGGGCCAGGACATTTGGCGTCTTAAAAAACAAGGCAAAATCTTACAAATTTAGCTGTTTGCCCAAAAGCAAGCAACCGAAAAGGGCCCAAAACCTCTCAAAAATCATTAATTTTTAGAGACCCCAAAAGTTCCCAAATATGTATAGACTACCAAAAATTGGGCACACAAAAAAACCGTTTAAATCTCCCAAAATAATGGAAAATTACCTCAAGAACGCCCTAAAAAACTAACAAAATACCTTGTTTTTACACACCCCAAAACGGCTTTTTACTTCTGGATCAGGACATTTGGCGTCTTCAAAAAACAAGGCAGAATCTTACAAATTCAGCTCTTCTCCCAAAGGTAAACATTTGAAAAAGATCTAAAACCCTTCACAAAGCATTAATTTTTATGCACTCCAAAAGTACGAAATATCTGTAGACCACCAAAAATTGGGCACACGAAAAAAAATTTAAAACTAAGAACGCCCTAAAAAAAACTAACAAAATACCGTGTTTTTACATACTCCAAAATAGCTTTTTATTTTTGGACCAAGCCATTTGGCGCATGCATAAAAAAGTAAAAACAACACTAAATCAAGGAGGGTATAGGTTTTTAAAGTGTTTAATTGTCCTGGTCTAAACTAGAATATTATGAAAAAAACAGATAAAGCTTTCAGAATCGATGTAGACAAAGAAGACAAAGTATTATGGAAAAATTTAAATCCCCCCAATTTGGAGGCACAAATTATGATTTTTGAAGAATTTTATGTCTTTTTCGGTTGTTTACTTTTGGGAAATCATAAATTTTTAAGATTCTGCCTAGATTGTTAAGACGTCAAATATCGTAGTATAGTCAACTTTTATTCAAATCCCTCGGTTTGCAACACCCCAATATTCGACTATGCCTTCATGATAATTCTTGGATTCAGAATTAATAAAAATAAGTGCAAAACATTCCCCGTTTTCATTCGGACTACAATCCGATCTATTCTTACAGCATCTCCTCTTTCACGACTGCTTATACCGTTTATAGGTATGTATGTGTCTATCGAGGAGAATCATCGGCACGACCATCAATCCTGAATTCGTCTTCGACGCATGAGTCTTTGGTCATTGTTGTTCGATATTACTGTAAGTCATGAATAGATGGAAGAGTCCCAAAATCGAGAAATGTTTTGAGAATATTTGGCAGCACTCAGTTGCCCGTCAATCTTCGTGGGTCCTCAATCTCTATTGCCACTCGAGATCTCACCAGTTCAGATTTAAGAACAACTTGTAATTATCTGTCTAACTCTTTACTAACTGAGCTATTTAGGTCTTGTCCATTATAATTTCTAATCAGCTACAATAATACATCAAATTGCGCAATATTACGAAATCAAAAAAAAGTTGGATTCGCAGTAATTCGAAACCGAGACACCTTGGATTGAACGCGAATATCTTACCAACTCGCCTATAGTGGATCTTATGTAGTCGTTTTCGGATTGAATATATTATATTGTCTATGCTAATTTTCTTATTAATTAAAAAAAATGAAATTCGCTTAGCATGCTACGCACTAGTGTACATAACAATTATTGTGTCCAAATTAAATTTATTTTTTAAAGGTAAACACGCACGTAATACGCTGAATACGCTCGATCGTGCAGCGCTTAAATTTAATAACGAATAACGCATTTTGACTTTTGAGTGTTTTTATTAAACAGAAGACGGTTGATGGTCGAGCGTTGGTACAGATTTGTTAACAAGAAATTACCACCTAGAATTTAAACTTTTAGGAAAATTAGGTTTTTTATGTTTTTGGTTTTGGTTTTGGTTTTTTCAGAAGTAATTTTGAATGCCTAGTGTTGGTTACCCTTTGTTGTAGACGGTTGACGTTTTCTGTCAACCTGCTGTCAACATATATATATATATATATATATATATATATAATACTATTCTATTATATATATGGCTGTCAACTATCAATTGAATTTTACATACAAGCTGACAGGTGACTTAACCTAAATTTTGACACTAGTTACGATATGTTTTGTTTGTCACCAGAAACCAACCTAACCAAATTTATGGCAACCTATTCATGAATATATGAATATCCCAAAATCCTAGGGAGTAATTTCTTGTTGATACGACAATATCCTTCAAAAATACGCTGACACATCGGCCTACTCGTTTAAAAAAACGGGTTTACTGTAAAAGCAATTTTTTTTCCGTTATAGAAATTGTTCTTAATCTTATTGTAGTATTCAACGATAGCCAACCAACAATATCATTATTGTTACGTAGTTATAGTTTGTTTTTGTAACACAACTTACTAAATTTGAGGTTTTTTTAAATTTTGTAATTGTGATATTAAAAAGCTTAGATATTTTTTAATAAAGTTTAATGCAAAACGATAATGTGGATGGCGCCATCTAGACCAGGATCGCGCGCGGCGCTGTTTCGGTCGATAATTCAGTTTGGCTTTTTACTTGTCTGTTGCGTAGACAGTTGACAGTTGACACAGCAGCAGCAACTAACAATTTTCAGTGCATCATAGCTGTTCAATCATTGTTAACAGGTAAGTCAATGTCTTTATATTTATTAAATGTTATAAGTAAAATGTAATTCGTCTGACATTAAGTTCATTTTCAACGATTGTGTCTAAAATTAAAGTAAATCAAATAACTGAATCCTGACCCACGAACGTGGTTTTTGATGTTGTTGTAATCGTTTTTCAATATCATAAAAGAAAAACATTGTTTTCGCGTCCTAAACATGGTAGTAATTAATAACTAGAATAATTATATTTATTATACTGTTATCACTGGGAAGTTGTAACACGTGTTATACGGTAGGCAAAATTGCTTATCTGAATTTGTGTTTTTGTAAAGGTTTTTAAATATCGCAGAGAATCTGCTTAAAGCTGACTCGTACTGTAAGTTGTTTCTACATAATCCAGAAAGGTTGTCCAAATCTCACAATAGGTATTTGATTGCAGCTATTTTTTTATACTTGGAAGTAACTGAATAATCTCATTTATCGGAAGAAAGGCATGCCTTAAACTCAACTTGTTTGTTAAAGTTAACTAATTGCCTTTTGCAGTTACTTTATAATAGCATACTTTACAGGCAAATAAGCTTGACCGTTGATAAACTTACCTACTGCACTCATTCTATCAACAACACAATTTCTCTCAAAGTTAGTTGCATTCCAAAAAAATATATATATTGAAGTTATCTAAAAGTTGGATTTTTTAAGGACAATTTGTTGTGCTTAGGTTATCAAAGATGAGTTATTTGTTTACATTGTCATCATCGATTAAATTATAATGAAAACATGTCTTTACCACAATTGTTGTTAAATTGTTTATTACCGAATCTTTGCTATAAAACTATTATACTATTATATGGTCTTTGGTAAACTTGATAATATTTTTAACCATCTCTCTAAATTTCAATTATCGTTTCAATTTGCTTTATCTGACTATCTTTTCGAGTGATTCTCCTATAACACTTTTTAGTGTATTCCAAATATGAATAAAATATTTCTTCCAAAGTAATATAATATTCTTTAATTTCTTGATCCGTTTTTCTATTTAATGTTATTATTAGGGATTGAAAATTACGAACACCCAATAAAATCCATATTGTTTTATTTAAATTATTTGGCGAAACATTTATAATATCTTTTGTTATCAATTTTTTCTAATATGATAATTCATTTTTAATCTTATCATAATTTATTATTTGGTATTCTATTTTATAGTTTTCTAAAATTTTCTTTAAATCTTTCTTAATATCGCGTAAATTCAGTGGGGGATAGCCACCTCCCACTAAAATTCCATATTGTATAAAGCATCATTTGTTATTATTATATTTTTCTTTTAAATAACGTAAACCATATATCGGTCAACCACGTACTCAAATTAATTTTATAGGAGTAGTTATTTTTATTTATAAAGTCAAACAGGTTTAATGGATTAGCATTAGTTTTATAATTATGTATTGCTTTAAAAGATTATATTCCTATTTATCTAGCAATTCTTCTAATTTAAAATAATATTTCCTAACTTTTTTTGCCTTATTGTTATTAAACATCATTATTAATTCTTTAAAATTTTTAATCATTTTGTATATATTTTGTAATAAAATTTTAGATTTAGTATTTGTTTGGTATTAGAAATATGTGTAGCATATTTTCCAAACAATTAGTCAGTTATAAAGTGTAAAAATTCATTGAATAAACGTTATGATGTGTCGGTGTTTTATTTAAAAGAACCGCGAAAAATAGACCAATGAGAGGTACGCCCAGATAAATGGATCAAAAGTGGAAACAAAGTGTTTGTTTTGTTGCTATAGGAATGTTGACTTCAAAGCGTATATAAAGGAGAACGGGCCGCCACACCGGCAGATTCACTCGAGTCTCCTTCCGGACATCTTCGGACGAAATCACCAGGACCTCTCTTGGTGGAATAACTTCAGGACGGCTTCTGAAGGATTGTACTCTTTGGACATCTTCAAAGAATACGGTCGACGGGACCTTCTTCCGTCGTTAAACCACACCTGCCTCAGGACAGTTTCTGGGAGCCGAGTTTACCTCTGAACACGGGCCACGGGATCCCTTCCGTGGTAAGGGCTTAACATCTGGGACAGTTTCCAGGTGGTATAATTTCCTGGACCTCTTCAGGAAAAGCAACCGACGGGACTTCTCCCCTCAAATTCACCCACGGAGGACGTCTTCCGTGTGAAGGAGACTCAAGTGAATCTGCCGGTGTGGCGGCCCGTTCTCCTTTATATACGCTTTGAAGTCAACATTCCTATAGCAACAAAACAAACACTTTGTTTCCACTTTTGATCCATTTATCTGGGCGTACCTCTCATTGGTCTATTTTTCGCGGTTCTTTTAAATAAAACACCGACACATCATAACGTTTATTCAATGAATTTTTACACTTTATAACTGACTAATTGTTTGGAAAATATGCTACACATATTTCTAATACCAAACAAATACTAAATCTAAAATTTTATTACAATTTATACAAATTTGCTTTAGCATGTTTATAATCTATTTCTTCGTATGAGATTTCCTTGTCTTTTAAAAAGTTCTTAAAATCGCGTTATTTCTTCAATAAATCCCATGAATTGAAGCAAATTATTTGTGATTAATATTTTTCTTTTTCTGCAAAAACAACATATTTCCAAAAAATACGACTATCAATTTTCTCTTAAAATCAACACCTACGTCTTTACTACAGCATTTGTTGATTTTTCATAACCCAATATTTTTGCTAAATCTTTAGCTTTAAACAAAGGTTGATTATCATTGTCTAATATGAAAAATAAGTCTTGATCATAAACTTTCAAGTAACAGTATTATCTATGTCAATAATTTAATTTATTTTTTATTATTGGGTGACCGATCCCATTTATACTAGCTGTTTCAGTTTCAGGTTATTGTTTTTCAGTTGCTCCAATTCATTTGCCGTGCTTTCGTATTGTGGGAAATCCCTCTGATGTCAATTTTTCGCTTCTTCTTTCTTGGATGATAAAATTCTTTCCATACGTTATTTGTCTTCATCATATAATTACTTCTAATAGCTTTATTTATATTATTATTATTCTAAAATAATTGCTGTCTTTTCTCTTGAGCCTACGTTGATATCTAGCTTTTCATTCATTTTATGTAGACTTTTTATAATACGTAGGTCCCATATTGCCTCGCATATTGTACTAGATCCCTTTTATTACAAGTATTTATTTTTTTGACAATTAATTAAATAAACCAGATGATTTTTATATCTATAGAAATAAATATGAAAAAACATGTAAACAATGTAAAAAAGCAGTTAATTCTACTCGTTTATTATGTGATTGTGGTAGATATTACACTAGAACTAATTTTAAAAGGCATATAAAAACAGATTTGCATAAAAATGGATTGAATTTATTTATTTACTAAAAATTGTTTGTTAGATTCTTTCCTATAATAAATGGAACGAAGGAACTTAAGTAATCTTCGTTTATCTAAACTGTTTAATATTGCAAAATCATTAGACATCAAATATATTAGAAAATATAATAAAGCAGACTTAATAAAAGCTATCATTAAAGCTGAAGAGCAATTACATAAGGAAATAAAAAACGGAAAAAAATCAATTATGCTTCCTTTGCGGAATTCGGACAAATTCCTTATGAGCGAAGCGAATTCAGAAATATTTTCATTTGATGATGATTTATTTGCTAAACCAAGGAAAAAGAGAGTTAAGAAAAGCAAGTGTGACATATGTGGAAAATATATCAAAAGCACCCGAATGCAGCCACATAAAGAGAAAGAAAACAAAAAGAATCTAAAACATTTCAGTTTGATGACGATATATTTGCTAAACCAAAAAAAAAAAAGAGTAAAGAAGATAAAATGTGATATGTGTGGAACATATATCGAGGAAACTCGAATACATTTGCATAAATTAAAACATGATTTGAATAGTCGTCGTTTGCTCGAATTACGTAATATGGCAAAATCCTTAGGTATAAGATACATTAAAAGATACAATAAGTCAGAATTGATAAACGAGATTATTAATGCTGAAGAGCAATTAGAAATAAAAAGAGGAAACAAAAACAGCTTGGAAATATTTCCGTTTAATAATGCCATATTTTCTAAACGAAAAAAGAAAGAGTAAAAAAGATCAAGTGTGATAAATGTGGAAAATATATTAAGGAAAGTCGAATGCAGTTGCATAAAGCAAGACATAATCCAGAGCCAGATTTTATTTTAGTTCAGGTTGCTTTTAAGGGAAGATTATTAACGTATCAACATAATAATCTAGAAGAAGGTGTATGGAAACATACATGGATATGATAAAAGAAAAGGCTATTAAAATAATTATAAATGCTTTAAATCTCCATAAAAATATTAAAATTAATTTAGAGATGGAATACGAGTTTATGAAACTGGAAAATGAAGACTTTACAATGATACATAAAATTCAGTTACTAAATGTTATACTAAGAAAAAAGATGGTCTGGAGGAATATTGGGATGAACAAAAGGATTTATTTATATCAAAATGTGATGAATTACAAGAAAAGGGATCTGGATGGACTTTGAAAAATATAAATTATTTGCGCATTAATATAAACAAATATACACCTTTAAGCGGAAATTCATATGTAGAATTACCCAAGTGGATTAAAGATAAAAAAGCTTGCGTTAATGTTAAAAACAACGATAACAAATGCTTTATGTACAGCGTAATATCCTGTTTACATCAAGCAAAAGAACATGTATATAGACTGAATCATTATAATAAGCCGGAATATATAAACGAATTAAATTTTGAAGGAATAAATTTTCCTGTCAAAATCCAGGACATAGCTAAATTTGAATCACATAATAAAATTAATGTTACCGTGTTTAGTTACGAAGAACAAATATTTTATCCTTTGTATCATAATAAGAAGCGATTCTCTGAAATGAATATCGACTTACTATACTTTGGAAATAAAGAAAGACAACAATCATTATTGTTGGATCAAGAATTTGAGTCGATTGTTAAATGATCAGTTGGAAGTAA